TGCCAAGTTTAGTTGGGCGGTTACGCCGAGGGCGACGCCGCGAAACGCGGAAACGGGTGCTAAGAGCTGCGCTAAAAAAACTGAATGCATCAGGTGAAATAAGGTGAAAATTAGAGATAAGAAAAAGAGAAGAGAATCTAAGATACCGTTCTCAGACCCTTCCTTTTGTCCGTTCTCAAATGTTTTGATTTCAAGAAATGTTTATATCTTTTTTCATACCCAGAGAACCCCTCCCAGTTTCAGCATGAATGCAATAAATCAATGCAGACTAGTTCTTGTAAACTATAATGCACATGAAAATGAATGTTCGCCACATAGTCATGTATGAGCCAGTGGCTCAGATCTCTAAATACATTTGTATTGAGGAACATTCTTGAATAAAACTTCTGGGCTTTTCATTCGACAGTTTGTACTTCCATGAGGAACACTGTATGGCACTGATTTTTTTTTGTGACACATCAGAAACAGCAGCGTCATCCTTGCATGCCCAACAAGAATTTGTATTTTTTTTTTTTAGCATGGCATGTGCTATTTTAATGGTTATATATCCTCCTTTAACAAAATTTCCTTTGTAGAGCTTTTTATTGTTTCTTATTTAACTCGCACGACAGATTCGGGACCTTGAATTCTCACTCGGCATCAACAGTTTTATATATTAATGTAATAGTGAAAGACAAGAATTATGGTCTTGAGTACGGCTCAACAAGCACAGATATTGAGAAAAGTACTGAAGAAAACTCAAATGTCAAAATAAAAATAAGCTGGAATGTGGATACAATTAGGGACATGGTCATGAATACAGTAGCAGATTCAATATGAAGAATACGTGTTAGACGCACACTCAAAGAAACCTGTTGCATCTATATTCATGCAAATTACTTCGCAGAACCCTGCGCTGCAGTCTCGGGTGCGAGTTCGCTGAATGAGTCCACTGAAAATGAGTGCAGACGGAAAAAGCAGTTTGATCTGCGACAATGAGCATTACATAAGCAAGTGACATGTCATTGTTACTGTTACAGTGCCGAATGCTTCATACTCCCAGTCGCATCATTCTGCGAGTTCCATCCGTATATTACAGGGTTTGGCTCTCTCGAATTCTTCGCGAGAAAAATATGAACTGGAAATGTCTAGCGTAGTTCTAGAAAAACTACTTCCAGAATCCTAACTCAGCATCGTAAAGAATATAAAAAGTTTCTAGAGATAAGGTTAGTGCAGGAGTTGAATAAATTAAATACTTAGTTTTGTGAAACCATCTTGCCGTAGTAAACGTATAAAGTTCCCCTAGGTAGAGCTAGTCATTACAGATGATTGTGCCCATTGCATACCATAAAAATTTAATTTGCGACCTACAATATTTACAGACTCAACCAACTCTGAATAAGTGGAACACTTGGCACTAAAGATTGGTCTCACCATGACTGTCTGTAAACATCCACATAATAATTTCCATAAACCTATGCATTTCAAGAAAATATTTGGAGCGAGCTGTTTAAACTGCCATAACACTTTTTAACACTAATAGAAAGCCTGTAGTGGTCTACAACTTAAGCAGTTTTTACTTCATTATGAAGGGCAATAACAAATATGTGAAGCTTAAAATTAGGCCTGCACTGAATTGCTTTCTTAAGTTGAACGTGCTATGCTCAGTTCAATATACTATCTTTGCAGAGCTGACAATGTGCAAGTTCCCATTTTTTTATACTTCACATCTCCCGACTGCTGGGTGGGGTAGGTACATAAGATTAATGACACCAACGTAACACAATGATTATTTTAAGAATTTGTTTGGGTATGGCACTAGCGAAGCCATCTGCGGGAAGTTATTTCTGTGACTCCGTCGAACCTACATCCGTGGGCTTTAAGTTCACAAGTGAATCATGTCTGCAGACGCCTTTTTGTAATTGGAACTCCATCCAACCCGAGATTTGAATGTTTTTTGCATTTTAGGATTTGTAGTGCTTTTGCTGTTTCACTTAAGAAGAGGTAAGAGTGCTTATTTCGAGTAGCATACCTAACACTTGGTGGCATGTGGACTCCCTTGTCGTGATGCTAATCGAAAGTCACAGGCAGGGAGACACTGTGATGCTCTTGTTGCTGGGATTACCTCCCCCATGGTCCTGGCCGGACCACAGAAGAAGATTGAGTCCAAGCTTGTGGCCACTGGGATCTCCAGATCTTGAGGCAACCAAGTAGCTGGAAATAAAAACAAATCACAATCAAGTACTTGGCAGAGCTAAATTAGAACGGCTAGCATATTGTTCCATGATCAGCACATAGATCCTTTTGTTTTTATACTTTGTACTTGTACCTATTAAAAAACTGCTCCTTCACAGCCACAGTCATAGACACACCCCAGGACAAGGCCACACAGGCCTTGAAATGATGGGTACCGAATTAAGGCGAATGATCAAATGCATTCATTTAACCCTCTTTCACCCCAACCTGGGAGATTTCTGTCAAATATTCACATTTAACTCTAAAGACTATAAAAAAAACCTACTACTGCAATGCAGAGCCGTATAGTGGGAGAGTTTAGCCAGTGGGTGTGGTGACAAAGGTGCCGGAGAGGAGGAAAGAAAGGAGAGCGCCGAAGGAAAGAGAGAGAAGGCAGCAAAAAGGAGACGACCGCTATTTTGACGCAACGCTGTTGGCGCGGAGCATTGCTGAGGCTATGTGTGGTCTGCTACTAGCTTAATTCATTTTTGCCTTTATAAAAGTTTGCGTTTAAACATGGAGAAACTTCTTTCTTTAGGTTTTTAAGCCACCGAGGAATAACGCTATATTATTTTATTGCCAGAGCCTGCCAAATAAAAGCAAAGGGCAGGTGTCTGGATAGAAAGAGTTTAGTTGGCGCACCAAGAGGCTAACCAATAAAAATGGGTACCACTCTGCGCAAAATGCCTAAAAAGCGTGCATCTCTACTTGACACTAACAGCGGCACACACTATCTATTCTACTGACTAAAGGGTACTAGATCATTATTTCCAGCTAACTAGTCAAAATAGATATTCTTGCCTACTTGCTTTTTAGGAAAATTTTTAAATTTACAAGAACTATTAAGACAACGGCTAAAAAAAAAGCAATGGCAAAACCAAAAATTGAATTCGCCTGCTCTCCAGTAGCACGACATCTATAGAAGGCAGACCTGCAGAATGAACAAGCAGTCTAAAGAAGAGTATGTCCCATGTATAATTTGTTTCCATGCTGCAAAGCAAGTGCTGGAAAGAGGTTTCACGACATTAACAAAATTTCTTGCAATCAGTTGAGAACAAGTTAGAGCAGTGAACTTGTCCTTGCCCTTGGCATAACATTTTAGTGTTGCCCATGGAAACTCAAATAAATTTGTGAATAAAAACAAAGAAGACTAACCTTCATAAAAAAAAATCTAACTTTTGCAAAGAAATGTTATCTTGAACAAAATATGCGGGATACAGTTGTACAGCATCCATTTTTGTGCTGAACCAATTTTGAGGCAAATCTGCGACAATGAAAAGAAAACGCCCGAGTACATTAGGGAAAGACAGAAAGGATGCATACCTACAACAAAAAAAATTAGAACGACCACGGGCAGGAACTTCTGGTGAGGCTCTCGGAGTGACTCCCTGCAATGGGCCTGCGCAGACCAGAGAACGAGATCGGTCAGAGCTTGCAGCCATAAGGTGCTTCATACCATAAAGTTCCAGAAGTAGCTGCAATTGGAAGCAAAGTGCATTTCATTTCTCTGCAGAATGTAGAGTTTAATAGCTAGTATGCAGTCATAAGGTGATACAGTCACGAATGCAGATTTTTCAATGCAGCACTATATCACCAAATTGTTAACCGTGCCGGGCAACACTAAAAACCGGGAGCATTATTCCAAACTCTCTCAGTTTAAAGTTAATTACGGCAGAAGCTGCAAGCCATGTGACCTTCTAGTTGGATGCCATGGTACGTCGAGCTTATAATCATGTCTCACACTGTTTTTGCTGCAATGGCTTGTAGTGTCAAAAGTGGTCCAGCTTAAAGAGATGCGATGTATAGACGTTTGTGAGTGGGGCCCTGACCTAGTCTTGAGCTACATTGCGAGGAAGGACGTTTCAACCGGGATGTTTGCTGTCTGCATCCACACGACCAGCTTGTGCACAGCGATTGCTCGAGCCGAGTACATGTCCTCGACAGTGCCATTATTTGACAAGCAGTTTTATGAATGTTAAACATGACTGACTTGCAGAGAGACTGCATCTCAACGACTAATGACTTGGGATACCTAACTGAATACTGATATATTGCACTAGAGGACAGCCATTTAAAACCCTACTTTGACAGGAGAGACGAGATGACTGTTAGCCATGGGCTTTTGTATTGGGGCCATCGCGTGGTTGTGCCGCATGTAGGTAGGCCACGTGATGACCGACACCGGAGACCCCGTATCGAGTTGCATGTTGACAGGCACGCCCCCCCAGTCGAAGGTACCCGCAATAGGCTGAGTGGTCTCGATGTGCCCGACGTGTTCCATTGACGCCCCCAACATGAACAGGCCCTCTGTTCTGACGAGGTGGCCGAGTGTTTAAGGCAATGGGTGCATCCAGGGAAGTCCAAGTTTCGACAGACCGAGGTGGACTTTTTGGGGCACCGAATTAGCAATCTAGGGGTGCAACCTAAGACAGAAAACATAGATGCAATCCTCCAAGTTAAGGCGCCCCGAACAGTAGCCGAAGTAAGGTCCTTTGCAGGGCTGGTGACTTACTACCACAAGTTCCTCAAGAACGCGTCCTCGATCATGGCGCCGTTGTACGAGCTTCTCCGCGCGGAGGCAAAGTGGGAATGGGGACCCAGACAGCAACGCGCGTTTAGCGAGGCGAAGACCCAACTCAAAAAAGCTGACTTCTTGGCGCATTTTGACCCAGACAAGCCGTTAATTCTTGAGTGTGACGCGTCACCAGTGGGCATTGGCGCCGTACTGTCTCACGATGTTGGCCAGGAGGTCCTGCGCCCAATAGGGTTCCGCTCTCGCACACTCACAGCCGCCGAGCGGAATTATTCACAGTTAGAGCGGGAGGCCCTCGCTTTGGTGTTCGGTGTGTCGAAATTCCGAACATACCTCTTGGGAAGGTGTTTCACGCTCGCGACTGACCATAAACCCTTGTTGGGGTTGTTTCATCCTGATAAGGCCGTACCGGCGATGGCCGCGGGGCGGATCCAACGGTGGGCTCTGCTGCTGGGGGCCTACAACTACGTCATCCAGCACAAGGACGGCAAAGCCAATATTCCGGCCGACGCACTCAGCCGGCTTCCAGCGTCTGGATCAGCACCCCCTGAATCGGCGGAAGACGAGGATGGCTGTGAGTATGTTCTCCTCACTGAAAGCCTCAACGATGGCGCCTTGTCGGCTAAGCAGTTGGCCGTTTTGACGGCGGAAGATGATGGTTTCGCAAAGGTGCGGAAGTGGGTACAGGAAGGCTGGCCCTCTCGTCTAGCACTAGGGGACAGCCATTTAAAACCCTACTTTGACAGGAGAGACGAGATGACTGTTAGCCATGGGCTTTTGTATTGGGGCCATCGCGTGGTTGTGCCGCAGGTTGCCAGACCAGCAATGCTACGACTACTGCATGATACGCATCAGGGAATGGGCTCCATGAAGACGCTAGCTCGCTCAATGCTGTGGTACCCGTGCATTGACCAAGATATTGAGCGACTCGTAAAGACGTGCCATATTTGTGTGCAGGCCGCACCGATGCCACCTAGACAAACACCTGTTCCGTGGCCGGAGACGGGGCGACGCTGGTCCAGATTGCACATCGATTTTGCGGGACCAGTGGATGGTTTTATGTTGTTAGTTGTGGTAGATTCACACACGAAGTGGATTGAGGCGGTGCCCATAAAAAGTGCCAATGGGGTTTCTACGGTTGAGGCGTTGCGAACGGTATTTAGCACCTTCGGGTTGCCAGAAACCATTGTATCTGACAATGGCCCACAGTTTACATGTGAAGAGTTTGGAAAGTTTCTGCGGCTCAATAACATCGTTCACCTTCGTACGGCACCTTACCACCCCCAGTCTAATGGGCTGGCGGAGCGCGCCGTCCGTACAGTGAAACAGGGACTTAAAAAAACAAGCAAGGGTCGCTGCAGACTCGTCTAGCAAGGGTGCTGCATCAGTACCGTCGGACACCTTCCGCAGGTGGCAAGACCCCGGCCATGCTGCTAATGGGATACGAGCTGCGCTCAAGGCTAGATAATGCGGTCGTACCCCCACCATCACGAGTCAACGATCGGAACGACACTTATACCAACAATCCTGTCCACACAGGGGAACCAGTATGGGTGCGAAATTTTGGAAGAGGTGAACTGTGGACACCAGCTATCGTACAGACCACGGACGGCGCACGCATGGTCACCGCCGACGGCAACGAGGGAGACGTCCTTCACAGACACCTCGATCAAGTCAAGCCCCGGCTTCCCGAGAGTCCACCGGAAAGTGCTTCCAGTCCGTCACGTCTCCCGCCGCCGGAGGCAGCGCCAGGCCTGCAGCGACCGACTCGAACCAGGAGAGCCCCAGTGCGGTTTTCCCCCTAGGAGGGAGAAGACTGTTGCAGATCGGCTACGCCGCCACAAGCACAGTGGCGCTTGTCATCTTATCTTCCACCTTCTCTCTCCCTTTCCCTCTCGCCTTCCCCTTGCCTGTCTACCATATAAAGCGCAAGCTGCGCACGAATAAACGTTGATTACCAGCCGCTATCGTCACGTTCTTGCGGCGTCGTAACAGCTTGTAGTGTCAAAAGTGGTCCAGCTTAAAGAGATGCGATGTATAGACGTTTGTGAGTGGGGCCCTGACCTAGTCTTGAGCTACATTGCGAGGAAGGACGTTTCAACCGGGATGTTTGCTGTCTGCATCCACACGACCAGCTTGTGCACAGCGATGGCTCGAGCCGAGTACATGTCCTCGACAGTGCCATTATTTGACAAGCAGTTTTATGAATGTTAAACATGACTGACTTGCAGAGAGACTGCATCTCAACGACTAATGACTTGGGATACCTAACTGAATACTGATATATTAACTGAATGCAAAACAAATTACCTGGCAGGCATTAAATTTATCAACAGGGTGGGTCAACTCCGCATTAAGTTGGAGTCGATGCGTCAGGCACGTAACCAGGATTTTGTTTCCGGGGGGCCCCCTCATAACAAAACGCTGTATGAGGGGGAGGGGGAGAGGAGCACCCATGCGAAATGGAAGATATCGGGGGGGAGGGGGGGGGGCCGGGCCTCATAAGCCTCCTCCTGGCTACGTGCCTGCGATGCGTAATAGGACAATACAAACAGAGATATGCCTTACAATTCCTTTTGCACCCCCAAAATGATGTGTTTTTGAAGGTAAGATACACAATGTTCTTGATTCAGAAAGTGCCTCAGCTGTACAAATGCATATGGAGTAAGGGCACTCGCCAAGCCTATTCTTCTCAGCTCTGTGCAGGTTAAGCTAAGTTAGAGTATAGAGGTACACGCTCACTGACAGCATGAGAAAGGCAGGGAGAAGTCTCCGTTTTTCCACCACCAGCCCGTCTGCTACCTTCGATGACATTTCAGTGCCTCATGAGCCTGGAGCAAGCACATCTGTCCAAAGTGGGGTGAAAAGCACAAGCACGTGCTGGAGGACGCCCAGCCATTCTCTTTTTGTCATCGGCTATTCTACATATTTTAGTATGACATATTTTTAAGTGAGAAAAAAGTATTCTAAATATGCAGTCCAACTTTGACCATAATACAGAAGTCTGATAAAGATAACAGTTGCCATTCACCATTTTCCAAATAAGTGCTCCCACCTATCGGAACATTCTCTTTTTGCCATCGGCTATTTTACATATTTTAGTATGACATATTTTTAAGTGAGAAAAAGTATTCTAAATATTCAGTCCAACTTTGACCATAATATAGAAGTCTGATAAAGATAACAGTTGCCATTCACCATTTTCCAAATAAGTGCTCCCACCTATCGGAACATCTACACATGTGGTGCGTGAGTGGGTTCAGGACTGAGACGCTAGAAAATGAAGCGCTCACAAGGCTTGTCTGGCCCTTCCAACCGTGCGGGTACATTCATTGCAAATCCCAGATTTTTAGACAAAATGATTTAGAATAAGCAAATCTTGTCTACGCCCGAGGTAGAACATTGAATTGTGATTCCCCGATATTGTTCCAACCATCCTTCAACCTGCGGTGCCACCTGCAAATGAACTTTGTTGTGCTGCGGCACGCATCCATGCTGCCTGCTTGAGAAGAAAACCACTGCTCGTGTTGAAGACGACATCCCACAATGTACAGGCAACAATGTTTAACGAACTAAAACGAAATTGATATCATTCAATAGACACAGATAGGCTTACAAAGTGTCGACACCATGATTGTTGTTGTTGGTTTTACTCCTGCATAGAAACATAAGTGACTTCCTCTTTCCTCCGATGTACAGTAAAACCCCCTTATCTCCGTGGCCACTATTTCTTCTCGAATCGGTCGCAGAGGACATAATCACAGCCACTGAATTCTGCAAAATTAAAGGCCGCGAAAATAAAGGTTCGCCAACATTAAAGAGTTTACTGTTCTTCCGTGTGTCACATGATGTTAACATTTCAAGGAGGCTGAAGGTATTGATTTAAGAAAAAATTGACTCATTAAAAAAATGCCCTTCTCCAGGTTAGGCACGCGAGGTTCTTTTGCACTACCTATAAGGCGGCAAGTTTGTTTCGGCAGAGCTTTTGGTTAAACGGAGTCACAAAAGTAGCTATACTTGGAGTCAACTATTTTGCGCTGCATTATAAAGCTAGATTAAATTCCACTGTGCTTCTGCACAGCACTGTTTGTTGCGAGAACATATGTGATTTAGTGTTGCATCCCATTTGCATGATCTAGAGAAACTAGCGCTGACAGAGTTGAAGCACTGAAAAAAAAAAAAAAAAAAAAAACAGCCGACTGTGGAAACATTGAGAGATGCACACATGCGAACTGTGCATTTCTTAAAAGTGGATTTGAGCAAAGGTAAAGACATTATGTATACTTACGGCGGCCATACTTGCCTTTCCCAAGCATGACCCCTTTTCCCTCGGTATCACCCAGACTTGTACACGTTACTGAAAAAAGTAACTGATTACAATTACAATTACTACAGTCAAAAAAGTAACCGATTACCGTTACTGATTACTGCCTCCCAGAAGTAATTGAACAATTACTGCAAAGTAATTGATTACTTTTCAAGTTACTTTCACGTTACTTCTTATTGCGATGACAGAAATACACAGTAAAATATTGCGTACACAATTTTGTTTGGTTTTTGTTCCCTTTTTTGTTTTCAGACCCGTACCTTGTCGTGTAGCTGACGCGTCGACCTAAGGAACAAAGCCCACTAAAAAGTCAATAGCGAGTTCCCGCTTCCCGTCGACTTTATCAGCTATCTGCAACGAGATCCGGAACTCCCCAGCCAAGGCTGGTGGCGCGCTTGTAGAAGAGCGTGGCGTAAAAGAAAAAAGGATTTGCCGAATAATCCTAGTTTTATTTTTTTTTAGATGTTAAAAAAATGTCAATCATTTTTGCTCCATGGCTAAGTGACTATGCTGATTTTTGTGAGAAAAAAGAATTGTGGGATGAAAAATGTAATTGGTAATTGTGTAATTGATTTTGTAACTGATTACAGAAAAAAAGTAATTGAATTACTCCGAGCGTTACAGCTTGACAAATGTAATTGAAGTGTTACAAAATTACACTTAACTCTAATTGATTACAAGTAATCAATTACTTGTTACGCGTTACGTAACGCTTGTAACGCTTACTGGATGGTGCTACTAGCACCATCCAGTAAGCACCAGCAACACGCCCATGAGACGCCGCCGACTCATGGATTGAATGACGAACCGCCTCAGGTCTTGGAAGGAGATCCGGAACACTGCTTTAGGCCAGATGTTGTATCTGGAGGGGGCAGGGACTAAAAGTAAAAATTAACAAATTTATCTGAAGCGCTACATTCCTATAGCATAAACTCTAGGATAGCAGTATTTTTTTTTTAGGTCAGTGATGCATTTTAATTAAACACAAATGGTTGGTTTATATGATGAACCAGCAGCCCCTATTTTCCTTAAGTGTAACGGAGTGTCTAACGTTACGTCCGACGGAACCCGAAATAAAAATTAAAGTTACCCGCAACGTAACTGTCAAGCATTCGAGTTGCGTCCGACGTAACCCAACATAAAAATTAAAGTTACCGTATTTACTCGAAAACAGGTCGAACCCTATTTATTAGATCCACCAAGAACAAAAAAAAAAAATCAACTATAGGTCGACCTTTCTTTTTATTTTTAAGAACAGGGGAAATTTTGGGCAAAAGAAAGGAAAAAACCTTTATTTACATCACTCTCAGCTCAATCACGGGGCGATGCAAAAACTTTATCATCGTCCGAAGCTTCGTCAGCTGGGTAGACATCCTCGCAAATTCGCAGCAATACTTCACTGACACCGTTTTAAAATGACGACAAGAAACGAAAAAAGGTGCGAAGCGACGGAAGACAAACTACAAAGACGCAAGCAAAGCCGCCGTGTCGCCATGAGCAACACGCGAGCCGAGCCGCCTCAAGCAACTAACAAAAATAACATATTTTCTTCTTTTTTTTTTGTGCGCGTTTGCGAGGATGGAGGGCAAAGTGCATGGCGCATCGCGTTCCTCTCCTTACCCGTTGCCCAGCAAGGGGAACGCTAGAGGCGCGATGTCGAAATCCGACGCCAGAGGGGTGCACGCGATATCGGCAGCGGCCACCGCGGGCGGCGAGCCATTTCGGCAACCAAAAGCTTTTTGAAACAAGAAGCGGCGCGGCTCTACAACGCCGGCTCGGTGACTCGATAGCTTCATGCCTCCGGTAGGGTCGCAAAATTTGGTCGCGAATGTAGGTGTCGAAATTCTTTAATCACAATTTCCAAAAAAAAAAATCGACTTATTTTCGGATAAACACGGCAGTCAGCCGCGCGACGAGACACACATTATGAAAGCGATTGGTGCGAGCGACCAAGGCGATGAGCGACGTTTTTTAGAAGCCCAAGAACCGAGCGGCGCAAGCAGCGAGAGTGAGAAATCTTCGGCGCTCGGCGCCAGCTGTCGTAGCTTCTCGCCGTCGTTCGTCTCGTTGATCGCTATATTGCTAACATGCCGTTCAGAAAGGCGCTCTAAGTGCTTACCATCGCATTGGGACCAGCCTCGCATCCAACCGTAACCAGTCTTGACTTTTTTTTTTTTAGCCGCCCAGGTAGAAGTTAACATCGTACATACACCGTTTTCAAGCATGGCTCTTCGTTCATTGCTCGATTTACATTTTCGGCAAATGACCGCAATGAAGCACAATTATTCTAGTTCAAAATTGTCACGAACACTTGGCACGCATGCTTATACTGTAGCGCACCTAACGTAATTTAAAAGTAGAACGAAAACGGGACGAGATTCGCTTACCGCTTCACGGATCCTAGGCCTAACGACCGTACTTGGAAGTCGCCTGCGGTCCGGCGATCGGACGAGTCGAGCCGGCCTGACGCTGGCTGAC